GACATTTTTGCATTTTCAGGCACAAAACATCCCAACCTACTAAAATAACTAGACATAACAGCAAGATAAACACCTATAGACTCAGACGAATGTTGTGTCCTTTTCCTGAGTTCATCAAACAAATCATCAGTATGATGTGCAGTTAAATACTCTCGTTTGAACTCATCTTTTAATTCACACCAACTGTGAGCACGAAGCCTGACATCCTTGTAGAATTGATAAGCTTTGTCGGAAAACAAATCAACACCTGAATCTAACAATATTTCTGATGGAACATGGCGAGCGATACGAAGTTCTTCTACTCGTTCGAGAAAAGCTGTAATGGACAAAGACCTAGATGATCCAGAAAACTTTTCTAATCCCCACTTATGTGGCGGTACCATTTTAGAATTCAGGCTATGAGATATATTAGCCTGCGAAATATTAGTTTGTGAAATATTAGCCTGAGAAGAAGCATGTGGAATACTAACAACAGGAGACGAAGTAGCAGCATTTTGCACACCATTCAAAAATTGTCCATCTAGATTACTGGTCACGACACTCAATGCAGCTGGTACAATAGCATCTTTACTAGGAGGTGGTCGCGATTTCGTCTGAAACTCATCATGCAAACTAATCAATTTGGTCAATATTTCTGTTCTTTTGCCTTCAAGTGTTACATCTCCAGCAGTATCCATTTGATCAAACCTATTCCATGTGTGTGACAGCTTACTCTGCAGTTTCTGAGTCTCGCTGACATTATTACTCCCACTATAACTACTTAACAAAGCGTCTAACTCCACACATTTCCTGGAAAGAGCAGCCTCATCATCAGCAAACTTAAAAGGATAACTAGGGTACTTAAAACTATCACCAGCTTTTTCCATACGCAGAGCCATAGAAAGTTGAGATCGCATCTCTTCTGCGGTGCCAACATTGAGACCTCTAAAGCGAAGTTCCCACTCAAGCTCCTCTTTCTCCAAACGATTAATAAACATTTTACGAGCCATCTTAATATCAAAACTCATAAACTCGATATAAATATAAGTTCCAAAATATACAATATATAGTACAAAAATAATAATAAAGTCAAAATCTCAAATATAATACACAATTAGTTGACCTTTTTTTAAATACTCAAAATTCAAATAGTAAAAATCATTTAAAAAGGTGAATCAATGAATCAAATTAGTACACTATTCAGTTCTTACAACAAATGGTAAATGCATATACATATACTCAATTCTATCAGCATGAAAATTATCTAAGACTTATATTCATCAAAAAGCCAAGGTAATTACTCAAAATATAATATTTTAAACACGACGGCCCCACGTTGGGCGCCAAAAATGTAACCTACAAAATGAACTTGGTGATTCCACCAAAATTTTTAAACTTAAAAAAAAAATTATTAAAGTATTAACCACAATTAAAAATGTTGTCTACTACGGTTACACAAGTTTCGGTTGTTCCGGTGTCAACCTTCGGGCCTTCGACGTCGCTCAGACGGCAGCTAGGGGGTGGATAGCTTACAAAAATTCCGGAAATAGTAGACAAATAAATAGGCGCCAACTGGGTCTATATAGTGGCCAAACTATGATCCTATTTCCCCAAAAACCCAGTAAATGAGGAAAGAAATAAAAGACAAACCTCAACTTATGTTCCTTTATAAAGAAAAAAATATTTAACAGACTAATTACCTGCTTAGGTAATCAACAAAAAAAAAGAGGAAATTAAAAAGAAAATTTACACAGTGTATGTATATGCATAACCCAAAAAAAAAAAAAAAATGAATAAATGTATCAAAGTATGGAACGGTTCGTCGTTAGCTTGGTACCAGGCATGACGCTTGCGCAAAACATTAATTTCCACCTTACATAAAAAAAAATATAATATAATAGTTAACTTAAATATTGTGCATCACCGTACCTATACTACTTCATATATTATAAAAACAGTAAACTTATAATCTTTATAATCTTATAACCCTCTCCAAATTGGAAGGCGATATCTGCTTAACTTTTGGTTAAGACCAAACTACCCAAAAGAAAATTATTAAACCATGAAATTTTATAATTAAGTATAATTCATAGAACTAAATAAAAATATCAAAAAAAATAATAAAAATACAACATATAAAGGACTTTCGACACAGAGGTTATTTAATTAAACTCCCAGGTTGGAAGAGGTTACTTAATCTCTGCCCCCACACGGGTCTTCTGAGATTGCTTAACTTATAGTTAAGTCTTGACCATTTAATAATGAATAAATTGAAAAAAAGTAAAATTATGGCAGTAGCCCTTAATAACTGAAGAATTACAACTTAAACGTGGAAGCAGTCCAAGTGTTCTGCGACCCGAAGGATTACTACATCAGCATTAAGTGCTTAAATTAAGTAAGACTTTAAAATATTAATCAATTAAACGATGTAACATTTGATAATACTTAAGTAATGAGTGAAAGAACCTTAGAACATTCTGTGCTTAAAAGTATAAATAATGTTGAGAATACCTTGACAACATTCGGTTGAAAGTGAATGTATAGTCTAACAATGCACGCATGAAACCTTCAATATAACGTATAAGAAAAACCTGATAGTAGGGTGTCTTCTTTCACAGCATTCCCATCTTCCTATCCAGAACAAGAAACATTCTTGTAAATCTAGCTACAAGTAAACTAGGTGGCTAGCATACCAATGTTCTGTGTCCCCTCGATGAGTCCACGATGAAACCGTTGAACTCCGGACGATATAACCCTCTGTGTACAACTGTTGAAATCCTGGGTCAACAATCCCTTGGGTCAAACTGTCGTCGAATCCTGGGCTAACAACCCCCTGGGTTAAACCCTTAAAATATTACAAAGAAAAATGTCAATACACATTGACTCAAGTATCCCGAACTATAGGATTACCCAAAAATGTACATAAACTAGAAAATATTCAGTATCTAGGATAAAGAAAAACTACAGTGGCTCAACAGTGAGTCATAAACAGTATTATGAGCTCCAATAATTAAAATTCTGTTACACATGGTTGGTAACATAACCTAATATATACAAAACATACCTTTTTCGTAAAGGGTTAACTTGGTAGCCTTTCAAGGATGAGAACCACGTGAGATGATTCACAGCACAACAATATTCCACACTCCAAATGCTGTGAACTCCCGATTATTGCGTTAAAATCCTATATTAGATATGGGCTGGACCAATGACCATGGGAATTTACCAATTCACTAAAATTCCCCTCAAAATACGAAATGTCCATTTACCCACAATTAACCATGAAATAGAATCTAAAATCCCCTTTAATTAGGGTAAGCCGATGGGGCTAAATATTAAGAAAATTCTATTTCGACACAAAAATCGTCTCTCGTGACTGAATAACCACTGCCAGAAAAAAACAATACGTCAGCCGTCCAAAATGGCCGAAATCCCTTTCCGATAAATGTCAAGTGGGTTCAGAAATTCATCCTCAAGAATTCCCCACTATATAACTTAACAGACCATTTACGAAAGGTACCCTAAAAACTATATTTATATACAGTATAACTACATTTGGGAAACTGTTCCCGACAAAAAATTAACACAACAGCGATCGCAAAACAAAATCCCTCACGACTTAAAATCGCTCATTGTGAAACTACCTTACCTCGGGTTCTGAGCCCGATATTGGAACGTCCTACAAACATGACACTTGTCGGTGTTCTGTCGTCAAATGACGTTTATGTCATTCACTGTCATACTTAATAAACATTAACCTAACCAAAAATAAACAAGAAAATCTTAAAGAATGGTATCGTAAATAATTAATTACCCAAAGGTGAGACTATAATACATAATAAGTATAAATTTACAACGAAACTTGGTCTATTTTTAGGAGAATCTGGCAAATTAAAACAGTGAACACTATACCGCAAATATGACCAATGTACAAAGTATTATACTAGCTTTTACTTAGTGGTGAGATGAAATAAATTATAAAATGATGCCCGAAAGTTAGAATACAGATGAAATTAGTTAATGATAAAAATAATAGTGATATCATCAATACGATTTTACCCTTTTTTTTCGTATGATTAACCAGGTAAGCCAAAACAATTTTATTAATTCGTGGGGCCAAAAATGAACGTTACATATTGAAGAAAAAAAAATCTGCATGCAAATATTATTTTTCATGCTTTCTTTTTGTGCTTCTTGTAGCTTGGGCTTTTGCTGAGTTTTTTTAACTTCTTTTTTAGTGTGAAATATTGAGCTGCACTTGGGTTGAGGCAAAACTTCTTCATTCACTGCAGGTCTTGATATTTTTCATATTTTATAGGTAGCAACTCTGTAAAGGAAAAAACTAACATAATATTACATCAAATGCAGTAGTAAAATATATCTTCTTATAAATTGCCTGGTAATTCAAAGTCATGGCGAGGTATTTGTTTCTGCTTTTTCTTTGCATCAACCAAAACTGCGCTTTCCCATGTACCATTCCACGTTGAGCGATGGTAAACAAGCCTAGGATGATCTTTTACTACCTTGAATTCACGGATGGGGCGCGTCTTCAGTGGACAACTTCGTTTGAATGATGTAGAAAAATGGGTACTCCAGAATTTAAATAAATTATGAGTGACATCCACAACATCAAAAGGCGTCGGTTTACTCTAGCGGCTTTCAAAACATCCGTCCATTTCCTAGGAAGTTCTACATGAGTCCTTTGATTTATCAATCCAGAATCCCTGTCACCTTCCATACAAGAATGACCTCTAACTGGAAAGCTAATCTGCACAAAGTCGAATCTTTCTTAAATGTGAACCAAGTGACGGAATTAACGAAAGACGGTATAATTTTTGTTTTGCTCTCCACAAGAGTCGAAAAATTTTTTAAGCTTTGAACCTCGTTGGGCAGAAAATTGTAGAACTTCCACACTTCTCTTTTGCCAATTTGTTTCGGGATAAGTATAAAAAATGCTCTGGCCAGTTAATAAAACATGAACGTTAAAGAAATAAATGGATAATTGCCTTTTATAATAAACATCATTTGTTATGATGTTTGGCACTTGTAGATTTTTCGCAAAATCCATGCATATTGCTCATAGATATTGCTTCATAATCGCTATTTGCTCGACTAGATAATTTTGCAGCATTTTCTCTCTCATGAAACACTGCAGCTTTCTTTTTACGAAGTTGCAGTTTTTCTATTTTACTTCTATTTTCTTCTTGTCTAAGGAATTAAAAGCATTTTTTATTCTAGCTTCTAAAGCCTTAATCGCATATACTGCAGATGTATTAAAATCTTGTGAGAATATAGATCTGTAGGTTTCGTACGACACAGTATATTGTTGATCTTTATTAATATATTTGTACATATTATACATTTTTTTATATTTAATTCTTCGGACAAGTACGTTTTTTCTGAGTCTTTCAAACTGTAATGGCATTGACGCTCTTTAAAGGAACTGATATGTTCAAGCACTAACTGTTTAGCATCAGGTTTTAATTTTTGTGGTCTGTTAAAATGTTTTCCCCGCATAGCAGTAGGGGCTTTTCTAGTCATTTTTAATGATTTTTGCAACACTTCAACTTTTTTCTTTGTTATACCATGTAAAGAAAGGAAAGCCTTACAACAAACAGGTACTTCAGCTACATTTCCATCTGTTATAATTCTAACGCGATACGAAAATGAACTTTCATGGAATTTAGCAAACTCTTCTTCTTTACGTGGTCGGCGGTTTTGAACTGGGTAAGCAGATTTTAATAAATTGAACTCACGGATGAGTTTTTTCTTGCTTCAACCAAAACAGTCTGAAAGCAACGAAGTCTTTTGCACTTACAGTCATTCCCAGTCTCGTGGCTTTGGATGTTCATTTTCTTGGCGACATCTATCGCTTTACCAAACCGTTTACTCTTTTTCCCTTGGCCATTAAGAACAAAGTCTTCACAGTCATTATCAGTGTCACTCGAGTTCATTTTGATTATTGTTTATCACCACATACTTTGATTAAGAGAAAATCGAAGTATGTTTTTATCACACACTAGGAATGTTACTGTTTATAAATAATATGCACAGTATCCTAGGTAATCAACAATTCCAAAAAAAGCACATTGTACACTGTAAACACAAGCTTGGTCTAGTATGATGTTATTCGGTATCCCTAACTCTTCACCTTCTTAGCATGTAGCGCATGGGCATTCTCCCTTATTAGCCTGTATGGCAAAACTTTAACCTATATTATCTCACGACTATGCCCATTTTTGGCCTGTTTTATGTTACTAGGCCATAAAGTTTTTTATTCTCTATCGATTGTCATAAAAATACAAAAACATTGAAAAATTGACCCTCCTCCTTCTTAGCCTGGAGCCTTCATATGTAAATTAGACGGCGAAAGCTGAGTTTCTATCTTTAATAATAAAGAAATGGATTTGTTTCATTGATTAGAGAATTAAAAAAAATATATAAATAATCGTGAAATAAAACATTTTTACAATATATTAGGCTAATTATGAAAGCACATTATAAAAATTGCAATTTGACAAAATTATCTCCTGCATGATGAAGTTTAGAAGTGTTTTGTTACAGCTTACGGTGACATATACTTTGAATTATAAGCTACCTACCAATTACAAAAAATTAATAATACAAAATATGTGAAAAGGGACAAATACAAAAACACTATAAATTTTTGTGAAAATTTGATGAAGTAGAAATAGATCATTTTAATATAACCTACACTTGATGTGCAAACGTTTTTTTTATATTTTTTAAATATTACTTTTACAAGATATTGGAAAACAATAAAAAATTAAAAAGTGTATTTTGAACAAACCATTAATTTCAAATAAACAAAGAATTTTATAGCTAATCTATTTTTATTTTCATTGAAACATAATTCTTTACGAGTATAATAGAAAATCCATGCTTAAAGACTTTATCTAATTTGCAATTGTCTTTGATGTCTACACACCAATAAAAATAAAATTATGAAATTTTAAACTCATAAAATATTTTCTTCACAACTGTACTCTGGACTTGCCGTTGTACCTAAATTAATAATAATTTGTTCTAGATCAGAAACATTTAATTGCTTGTGTTTTTCCCAATCGGAAACGAGTATGTTTTTAGTGTGTCCAACTGAGTATCGGTAGCATTATTCAAATATTCAGACCAAGTCTGAAATATATCTTCCGGTGACGACTTTAAAATTTTTTCGTCATAAAAACGTTTGCACTGTGACCACACCATCTCTATCGCATTGTACTGGCAGTGATATGTAGTAGGTCTTAATATTTTATGTCTATATTTCTCAACATATCTATCTAGGTGGAATTTTTTTCTTGGTAGATTTTGATGTACGACTTCTCAAATCTGATATTTTATTTATTGGATAATTAATGTTTTTTTACTGCGACCATTTTATCTTTTGTTCAACTATAACATGGAATTGGTTCCACGTACAGCGAATGATAACTGACTTTATCGATTATAATCAAAGAAGGATGTTTCAAACTAGGTGTAATTTTCGTCATAAACCACTTTTCATAATTTTCTGTATTAATAATATTATGGTAATCCCTGCTTTTTGTTTGAATTTAAAATATGAAGTCTGCTTTTTTATAAACCCATTTTATTGCCAGGGTGGACAATCATGTATCGAATTTTTTTTACTACTTGTAGTAGCCATCGTTACGTCTTGCCATCTTTTTCTGTCACTTCCCTTGCTACATACCTACGTCTCATCCATAAATACAGGCTTATAGTTATCCAGCTCTATCTCATTGTTAAAATTTTTAAAAAACATTTTTTTAACTGAATTGATGTTTGTTTCAATAAAAACTGTTTGTTGTTACTTATTTTAAAGCGAAAGACAATTTTCCGAATCCATGGATTAATTGACCGTGCAGAACATTTCACATCAGGCATTTCTTCCGTAAATCGTTTATGTACCTATTTCATTTTTACATGTTGCGCACCTTCGTACATCTTATATAACTTGCCTCAACTTACTTAATATTAAAGAATTGACTTTTGTTTTACTTTGGCTTACTTTTTTCGACATTTTTTCACAGAATTTGTTGGTATACTAAGTCTATGATAGTTATCTGCGAAATATTTAATGCCTCTGCAGGCATTTGATTGCACCTTTTTTCAAGAGCCTCGCAAATAGATTTGTGTCTCTTAAAATAGGAAACTACGGTTAGGATTAAAATTTTTGATTGATCACTAAATCGTTTTAATATTTTGTTGAATACTTATAAAAACTTTTAAAATATCAAAATATACAAATTGGCAAATTTAAAATTATGCCACCTGACATAATAACATGATGTAATTAATCTACGACGTGCCAAAATCTAGTAACTTTTTATTTCATCCATTTTACATTTAAACAATAAAAAAATCGAATGGACTTGGGGTATTTCCGAGACTTTAGATACCAGCACAGATAATAAAATCACTTTTTGTAAAAAAAAAGTTTATCGTTTTAGGTAGTTAGCAATCTTTTGGGTTTCTACCCAAAATAAAAATCATTAATTAAAGTAAAATATTTTAAATGCTGATGATAATCAAAAATTTTAAATACATTAACATTCCAATACCTATATCGTTAGGACCTAATCGTTTTTTTAATTACAGCTATAAATATTAGAATAAATGGATCGTTTCTAAAAATAAACTGAAATTTCAGACAATGTACAACAGACAAAAAAATACTTTTTTCTACGATCACTATCCAAAGTAGGCTTGCGCTTCGAAATTCAACCGCAAAGTAGACGTTTTCCGCGAACTGACATTAAGTGACAGCTTTGTCGATCGCTGAGCGGAAAACTTAGATATAATATAATAATATTTCTTTTTAATAAATGTTTTCATGAATAACGTAGATATAGGCAATACATGATGCACTACTTATGTCAGTTTTTATATGCATTTCTTAAAATAATGTGAACGTAGAAAAAATCTTGTGAGCATTTTGAGCGAAAAGTTCGTTGCCGCTTTCGACAAATTGCCACTCTTCGCTACGAGTCAGCGGCAACTTTTTGTCTTAGTGGCAAAGTAACACTTTTCGCTCTTAATGCACAAATAGCTATATTGTCATAAAAAAATGACTACTTAATTTTACGCTTCAAGATTGAATTATTAACAAAATGAATTGATTTGTTTTATTTTTTATTTTACATTTAAAAACATAAAAACCGTTTGAACCACTTTATTACTTTTTAACATTAGCCATTTGCCTTAAGCAAACTGTTTAAATTGTGTGCGCTTTTGACATTCATATAAAATTTTCCCTTTTAAGTTATTGGCTATTATTTTTTTTAATCTGTCAAAATAGTCAAATTTTATCCTAACCAATCATTAAATTTTATACTCATTAAACAGTTTCGTTTTGTTTTTACTTAAAACTGTGTTTATCTTTCAAACTGACAACTATATAAAAAAATTTAAAAATGATTGTTAATATTACTGCACAAAATTTAAAACAGTAATATAATATAAACTAACCTCTTGGTATGTTTATGATAAATCACTCTAATACACATAAAACTAACTTCGTTACACTCAACTTTTGTGAATTAAACATTATTTTAGAATACCTAAACAGTTCTAAATTAACTAAATTAAACAAATATTTTATTGTACGGTTTTTTATCTTTTTATGGCCTAGGTGTATATAACTAATATGCCAGTCTCAGTTTGTGTCTGTCTTCTTACTCATGTGTATTCGATGTAGGCTTTGTTACTGTTTCCCAGCGCCACTTCAGGAACAGCACTGTTCATTAGAACCCAACAGTTAATGATCGAGTGGGGAATCCTATGCATTAAAATAAATATTTTTTTTTTTAACTAATTAAAAATTTCTATCACCAGTGTGATTCGATCTCAAAGTCATGACTCTAACCACTGAATTAACCCCCCTCCATTTTATGGTTTAAGACACTGAAATCACCATATATCAATATATCAAGAGGAGGTAACTGTACCTATCGTTTGACGGCCATAGTAAAAAATAATTTTGGAATTAATTTCCGCATTGTAACATTTAGAATTAATTATCCTATAAAATAAAACGTTGTCGGAATTATTTATTTGAATAAAACAAGGAAATGCGCGCACCCACATTCATTAATAGCCTAGGTACTGGGTATTATGGGTGTGGTACAAAAATCGAAATTCGCTATTACAAGCAGTTGATCTTGAAATTTTATTATGATCTACGTCATTTGGACTACATTTTTTTAATCGGGCCATATTTTCGAAGATTTTATAATTTATATGATCATTAATTTTGAGATTATCTTTTTTATGCATTGGTTAAGTATTTCAAAATATACGGGTATGTTTTGATAATTAATATTCGATCTGAACTTGTAAATTTTTATGGTTTCAACTTGTTTGTCATCTTTTTTATGACTTGATTAAAATTTAGCCTTAAATAACCATGAAAATTAATTGATTGAGCTCAATTTTAATAATTTAGTTTTATTTGTCTTTAACGTGACCCAATTAAAATGAATTTATTCCTACATTTTTTATAGTTTAAAGCATATGTGGGCAACCCCCGGCCCACGAGAGATTCAGAAAATTCAAATTATGCGCAAAAAAATTAAAGAGTTAACACACAGTTTATTTGTAATTATATTAAGCGTACGCAGTGGAATATCACTGTGTTCTTCTACTCATGATGACTAAAATCGATATTTATTATTATTAAGCGTACGAAGTGGAACGCCACAGAATATTTCAGAAATAGTCGTTGCCTTTTATATGTTTGATTGAGCATAATCATTACGCTATTATATTTAATAAATAAAAAATGTGTAAATTTTTGTCGCTTTTTTATTCACTACTACCTACTTATTTTTTGCTTACGGCCCGAGACCTAATTAAGTCTCGAAATTACGCCCTCAGTAAGCAAGGATTGCCCATACCTGGTTTAGAGAATGAGAAGTTCTACTGAAAAGCAAGT